GGTACCTCGGGTTACATACGCTTCAGGTTACATACACTTCAGGTTACAGACTCTGCTAACCCAGACATAGTACCTCAGGTTAAGAACTTTGCTTCAGGATGAGAACAGAAATCGCATGGCGGCGGCGCAGCAGCAGGCCCCATTAGCTAAAGTGGTGCTTCAGTTTAAGAACAGTTTCAGGTTAAGAATGGACCTCCGGAATGAATTAAGTACGGAACCAGAGGTACCACTGTACTTTAATGGTCACTATGAAGTACGCATAGAAATGGGTATGGTTCAATCAGTAGTTGGATCTAAAGATGGCACGTCAATTATTAAATCCGTTGACTATTTAGGTATTGTATTTTTGTTTAGTGGTGGTTTTAAAAGAAATCTCCATGACTGCAGTGCCGCTTCTGAAGATGAGACAACTAAGCTGGGATACAGAAAGACTTGAGCCAAAATCAATTGGAGCTTTCCACTAACCGTATAATAGGCTTAGTTCCAGATCTACAGCTGAGAAGATGTAACCCTCAGTTGAAATAGAAAGGCAGAATGTAAGCCCCACTCTGCACTGTAAAAGCAGGGAGCCTGCTGCAGTAACATTTACAGCAATTGGCTTATTATAGCTACTCTTGCGGGGTTTGGTTTTTCTTTAAGATTTATTAAGCTTTTGGATTTCGCAGTAATAAGGTGCTTACCTGTGAGGATGTCATTTGAGCTAATTCTGCAAACTACATTGATGGACTTGTGGGTTACTTGCCATAAATATTCTCTCTCCCCGTCCCCATTTAATAGGGAGGTCCATTTTTGTAAATCCTGGTGAGTAAGCTGGTATAATAGTTGTACATATTTTCTCTCTGTTGAGTGTTTTGGGCATGTTTGCAGTATGAGGCTTGTTCCTGTTATATAAAATAACGTTGTTGAAACAGCGTTCCAGATCATTTACTGATGGTTTGTAATAGAGGAAGAGAACGGGTGTAATCATATAAGCATCTAGAAACACAAATATAAAAATATCAAAATGCAGCAGCTAGCATGTCTGTCATTGCCATTAACAAGGTGACAATTTTTTCAGGGAGCCATCTGCTATTTGTCAATAAGCCAATGAAATAACAAGTGACAGTCAGAGGATAACAAGGAGGCTAGCATTTGCTACTGTGCAGACTCCCATCTATAGAGTAATATGGAACCACAGTGTTAGAATAAAAGTTGAAATACACAAAAGGGCATGCAGACAGTTTTGATGGGTATGGGTGGAAGAGGCTCATACTGATCCCTGTTAATTGGAAAAGATTTCTATAAAAAAATAAAACCTATTGCTGGACATGTTTTGGGTTCTAAAGGAATCTCCCATCTGTGGGCTGTATCCAACGCTTCGGTTGCTCAAGTGGCACAGACTTCTGCTTGTGCAGTAGGACTTTCTCTCCTTGCCAGCCCCCCTGCACACAATCAAAATCCATCCTAGAGGGTTGAGGGACAATTTAGACCACATTATAGGGAACATGGGGAGGGCTGCCAGAGGGAGGAGAGGAAGGGCAGTCGTGTTGCACATTTATAACTCTGCTCATGCAGCCCTGAATACAACTCTGTGTTCCTTCAAAGCCCTCTGAGCAGGCTGGGCAGGTTTTAAAGGGAGAGATGTCTGGGAATAAGTTTGTTCAAAGGAAGACAGACCTGCAGTGATAAGAGTCTAGCGTGAGCCCTATAACGGGACTTGCTTCCTGTCTGCATCACAACTTCCTGTCCTTTCCAGTTAGCTGTGTCTTGACATTGGGCCCTATGTAGATGCTTACAGAAATTAATTAGCTGCAAGGATGCATATCAAATGCCTGTTCCAAAGGGCGACTGAGAATCAGTTAATTTATTATTGATTTGAAATATACGTTTTCAATTTTTTTCCATAGGTCCAGCCCTCTTCAGTCCTACTATGAACATCCACATATGTGGTCTGAAGTAAACGGCCTAAGCATCATGATCTATGCTGGTAATATCACATCAACTCTGGAAATCCACTGAAACCTGGAGCCAGAGGACAAAGGTCCAGGTGAGTACTGTTTTTAGTATATTGTGCTGTTTCACAAAGTGGTCAACATGACTTTTAACCCAAAGAAATATAGAACTTTGCAAAACGACACAATATACTAAAAAGTTCTGAAAGTAAACAACCCTCCCTTTACTCCCAATCCAACATTTCTTGAATTCTCCTGACTCTGCATAGGCTTGACTGCATGCTCCAGTGGACTTCCATAGTTGTTGTGAAATCACCAGTATGGCGTAAGTAACATTTCTGAGATGCAATTACTATGGTGCATGCACTCATCATAAACGGCAAGTTAAAATGCAGTCCCTAGTTGCAACATCTGTGGCTTATAAATCTAAGAATACCAATTCCACACCCGAAACAATTCTGCAGATACAGTCACATATTAGCCTGGTTTGGAAAATTGTATCTTGACTTAGTAAGCTGATAGATGAATACATCATTTTGTCTGTGTAGACTGCCCTGCCACAACCCTTGGCAGTACAAGCAATCAAACCAAGAAATTTATATTGTATTGTATTGTATTGTATTGTATTGTATTAATTCCACTTAGCTTTTTTAGAGAGAAAAAGTCTATGCCATTTATAATTATCCATTGTTTCCTATTTCATCCAAACAAGTTAGGATATTAAGCCAGTTTAATTTAATGCACTGGCTTCTTCCAAAGCAGGCAACCATAGTTTCCCAGTTTGGACAAATTAGGAAACTATGGTTAATTAGAGGCTTCCTCGTTAGATTGCACACACTGCAGAAGGGATTGTATGTGTTGGCAAAAGTCTTGTTCATATTTTTGCTTATTAAGCTAATATGATTGTTTGAAAATAGTCACTAATAACTATGTTACAAGTTCTTCCTTGTCCATGAAATGTGATTTAGACTATTCTTGTTCTAATCTAAACAGACCATATATCAAAAACAACACAGGCTTTCTATTTAAATGCATACAGTATTTTTAAAAATAAACCAGAGAATAACTTTGGATGTTAAGTGTTGCCAAACAATACACTTTTCTACACTTTCTAGAGGAAGAGTAGAGACCACAATTTATTCTAATCTTAGGACTGAAGACAATAGGTCTTTGTAATTAATCAAATAGATAGTTTTAACACATGCTATTAGGTGTCTGGTTTGCTTTCACTCTTCCTCTTTTCATGAGCAAATTTCACTTAAAACAAAAACGGAAGCCTGTATGGACCATTCAACAAGCTATAAACTTGTTAAAGTTGCTAGATTTCTTGCAGGTTATGGCATATTGGTTGCCTTAAGATACTTATCCATAGAGTTGAAATTAGTACTTCTTCATTAATGCTGTGTAGTTTTGACTTACACATAGAGAGATTGGAAAATATCCTATTCACTACCTTATCTATGGTATGTTTGTGTACATACACACACACACACACACACACACACGTCTGAACCCAGTGGTCTTGATACTTCTCAGGTATAAACTGCCTAAATACTTGCATGCCTGAAGTTGCAAGGGGGGGATGGAGAGATGGAGATGGGACTATGTTTCTTTCAGAGCTGCGAAATCTTCTGCCTCTTCTGTTACTTACCCTCTTTGATCTAGCTGCCAGTACCCTGCGCACAAACCAGTAATCAGCAGAGATGCCAAAGACTGGCTAAAGATCTGGATGGTTGCCGCCAGCAACTGCAGACTTCTGGGGGAGCAGTGATTCTCCCTTCTGCACACCTATTGCTGTACATAGAAATGCTCATATTCCAGTTCCATCGTGAAACACATCTAGTATATATTGGGGATACATCATATTTGTATTGTAAACTGAACTGTGATCTTCGGATGAAGGGCAGTATTGAAATTTTATAAATGATGATGATGAAGATGATGTGTCAGTGCACGTTCACCGGCATAAGAAGCAAACATGAGACCGGACATGAGACCAAAAGCAAATGTGTGTCTGCGAGGTTACACTCAGAAGTGTGTGTTACAGTCTCCCATGAAAATGTTTGTGTTACCTTTACTGATGAGCTTGCCCAGCAACCTATTAACACCTAATTTATAAGTAGGAAATCACCTTCCTTGCAGAATACTCTGCTTGGGGGGGAGGGGGGAGGAATCCATCAGTGTTTTGATTTTCCACCAGAGTTGCTTAATTTGGAGGGGAGAATCATGCTGCAACATCAGAAATGCTTTTTCTGTATTTCTTACAGTGCAGGCAATGGCCGTTTTGCACTGGGGTTGCGTTCCTGACCCCCCCCCCCCCCCGGTGCATGTTGGCAATGTGTTCGTAAGCCCATTCTGCTCCCTTTTCTGGCCGCTTCCAGAATGCTCATGGCTGCAGTCGTGCGTCAATTGATTGTTGCCAGTACTTACTCTCTCTTAATAATCGTTCATAAATGAAGATACTACTAACATTCAGGGCCATTATAGCTCATATCTATATACAGTGGTACCTTGGGTTACATACGCTTCAGGTTACAGACTCCGCTAACCCAGAAATAGTGCTTCAGGTTAAGAACTTTGGTTCAGGATGAGAACAGAAATCGTGCTCCGGCAGCGCGGCAGCAGCCGGAGGCCCCATTAGCTAAAGTGGTGCTTCAGGTTAAGAACAGTTTCAGGTTAAGAACGGACCTCCAGAACGAATTAAGTACTTAACCCGAGGTACCACTGTATCATACTGTGTATCACTGTTTCTCCAGAAAAAGGTATACAGTTTTTAACAAGTTGTATCTAATCTGCAGAAATTCATTATATGTTTCACTACTTCCAAAAGGTTAAGGGTATTTTAACTACTGATCTCCAAAGTTTAAAAAAATTACCGTATTTTTCGCACCATAACACTCAATTTTTTTCCTCCTAGAAAGTAAGGGGAAATGCCTGTGCGTGTTATGGAGCGAATGCCTACGGATGGCGGGGGGATCTGTTGCAGTCGTGAGCAGAGGATCCATGGTTCCCCTTCCTTCCCTCCTCCGTGGCTCGCTTTGAAACAGCAAAGCGGGAGAAGAGCCGCTGAGTGAGGAGGAGAGAGAGAGACAGAGAGCCGGCTTGCTTTAAAGGAGCAAAGCGGGAGAGGAGAGGAGCCGCTTACACGAGTGTTGGCTCCTTTAAAGCAAGCAGGCTCTCTGTCCCTCTCTCCTCCCCACTCGCTAAATAGCAGCAACGTTTTTTCAAACAGGCTCTCTGTCTCTGTCTCCTCCCCACTCGCTAAATAGCAGCAACGTTTTTTCAAGCAGGCTCTCTGTCTTTCTCTTCTCTCCACTCGCTAAATAGCAGCAAAGATTTTTCAAGCAGGCTCTCTGTCTCTCTCTCCTCCCCACTCGCTAAATAGCAGCAACGTTTTTTCAAGCAGGCTCTCTGTCTCTCTCTCCTCCCCACTCGCTAAATAGCAGCAACGTTTTTTCAAGCAGGCTCTCTGTCTCTCTCTCCTCCCCACTCGCTAAATAGCAGCAACGTTTTTTCAAGCAGGCTCTCTGTCTCTCTCTCTCCTCCCCACTCCTCTTATAAGAGCCTTCTCCTCTTATACCCCTTTTCTGCATTATTAACAGCATCCTTCTCCACCCACCCCTTGCGTGTTCCCTGTCCCTTGAGTGCTTTTCCTTCCCTCCCCACTTAAAACATGGTTACAAAGCACGGATCCACACGGATCCTCAGGATTTTTGCACTGGGTCACCCCAAATTCACCATCAGATCACATAGCATGTCCATGGCTACAGCTTGCACCAAAAAAATCACGCACCCACTGTTGCCTGGGGCCGCAGTGGTGCAAAAACGTGGTTACAAAGCACGGATCCACATGGATCCTCAGGATTTTTGCATTGGGCTACCCCAAACTCACCGTCAGATCACATGTCTGTGGCCACAGCATGAACCACAAAAATCATACATCCACTGTTTCATTTAGAATATTTTTTTTCTTGTTTTCCTCCTCTAAAAACTATGGGCGTGTTATGGTTGGGAGCGTGTTATAGGGCAAAAAATACGGTCATATATGTTTATGTAACCTCTAGGCAATCAGGGCTTTTTGTGGTGTGTTTTTTTAGAAGATCTACCATTATGTTTTATTTGCCTTTTTATCATATAATTTTTTTTAAATCACGCTCATTGAGCGTTCTGTTTATATATCATAAGATTATTTTCAACACAAATTGGCATTCATTATAACTCTAGATTATTCTTTTTTAAAAGATGCATTTTAATTTGTATAGAACAGTTTGCATTATTAGCAGTACAATTAACGATGACAAATGCACTCAGAGCTAATGGAAGAAAATTATTGTGAAATTTCAGGTTTTCCTTTGCACCAAATAGGAATAGTATCATTGCAAGTCCTAAAACTGTATCTTGTCATGCTTAGTCAGGATATAAAAAGGTTCCAGGGCACTTTTTCATTGCAGTAGAAGAATTGCTATGAGACTGAACCCGGTGGTGTTTGCAGCATGCTTAAGGTATGAAACAATAAGAGAACAGTTAGGGTTGTTTTCCCTGTCTTCTTAACCCCCAAAATATTTGTGCATAATTTTAGTAAACATAACTCACAATTGCTTTGTCAATTGATACTACCCTCATGAAGTGTCAAAATGAACAGGTAGAACTTCCATCGTCTTCTATGAAATCCCAGCAGAATTGGAGCACAAAGTTTAATCACAGCTTGAAATTGAGCCCTTTGTTAAAGTTACTAACACTGCATTGAACCTATCCAAGGACAGTGGCATTAAGAAACTTTCTATTCACTCAGTAGATTTAGGTCAAAGCCTTCAATGGTGGTTCCATGTATTTAGGAGTGGAAGTGAGAGTTTCTGTGTTTGAGGAACTAAATTACATTTCTTTTACGAGGAAGCCAGAGTTGAGAGCTATTTGTAGATGAATTTCCTGTAGCTTTAATATAAATTGGGTAGGGAAGTTTGCCTGTCTTATCATTTGTTTCTAAGAAAGTTGCTGGTCTTAACATCTGCCCTCTCAAAAACAAAAGGCATAATAAAATCTCAGAACATCCCAAACACCTGAGCAGCTTTCACATTACCTGCATTATGCAGGTACATAGGCAAAACATGGAATGGGGCTGCATTGTTGGCCCCACCTCTGACATGCACAGTCATGCTAGATCAACCCTACAATGTCTGGACGTCTGAAGATCTGACAATACATAAGAACTACTATTCAGACATCCATGTTCAGTCTGTATATGGGAGGGAAGGCAACACTTTATGGCTGCAAACTCACTGGTACCTCTGGGTAGACATTGCATATTCTACAGATAAATACAGACGATGCGGTCCTTGACCTTAAGCTTGCAATCTAAAAAGACACAACGCAAAAGGAAAACAGATTGGGAGGGAAGAGAAAACAAGCACAACAGATACAAGTTCTTCTGATGTCTAATTGGGGTGCGGGAAACTCGAGGAGAGGAGAAACCAGCAATTGCTTGTCTCCTAAGATGTGCCCCTGCTTCTTTTCACTTCCCCTCTGCTACAGCCTGACGTAATGGATTCTGCCAGTGAAATTGGGAGGGAGCAGCCTAGCTTCTCAGAAGAACTAACCATTTGCCCCCTCTAAGGTCTGATCCAGGACCCCATTTCTGCAATTTCCATAGCTACCACTGAAGGAAATCGAAGCTATTTTCCTAAGTAAATTGCACAGGGAGCAGGGGGGAGTTAAAGCTCCCCCCCCCCATACCAGTGTAGAGTTTGGGTACACTATATTGAGAAAACCCCCAGCAACCAGGGCTGTGGGATGCTTGCCCTCAAGGGCTAACTACGAAGTCAGATGACTTGAAAAGTGAGACGTTAACTAACTAACTAAAGCTCTGTAAGAGGAAAAGTACGCTGCTGGGAAAAGTCGATTGACTTTATTCCATTTGTTAACATATTACTAGCATTATGTCAGTGACAGACTGTGTATGTTAAATGACAGACAAATTACATCTTGTCAGGTAATTTAATAAGACTTGAATGCTTATTAATGTAGGTTCTTCTTCTGCACATAAGGCAGGTTTCGTATTATACAGCAGAATTTCACGCAGATGGGAGAAACGACATTGCAGATTTTCGGAAATCCTTGGCAAGGGTTCTTATCCCCCCCAATCATCTGTCAGTTTAGAAAACGTATATATCACATTTACTGTGTGTGTTGCATCATTCGAAAATATCATAAACAGTCATAAATATGATATTAAAACTACTGAAATCTTAATATTCTTAAAAATAGGCTCCTAATTGAAGCATCCCATTTAATATTCATACTTAGATTAAGAGGTATGAACGAACATTTCCTCTGCAACATGGTGCTTTTGCAAAACCAACAACAATTGCTGCACAGTAGTATCCACTTGGAACTGCGAGTCATAATACAGCCAAAATTAACTATTTAATATACAGAAGTCTATTAAGAACTGATTCATAGTGATGTTCCTCTTGGAGATTACTGGGAAACATGCACTCTTGCTCCAATCTCCTGCAATTATAGTCAGAGAAAAATTATATTCAAATATTAAAGAGACTACCAGTCATCCATAGAATTGCCATAATTAAGAAAGAACAGTCCTTGAATAGTCATTAAGTAGTCTTAGCAATTCAGATTAAGCTTAGTAAAGTGAAAGGAAGCTCTTTCCACTGTACAGTAGCCTTTTCAGTGTCTCTTCATCATAATGAAAATGTGAATAGTTCTGTCCCACTAGAATTACTCTAGCGTCTATTCTTAGGTCATTACGTTTAAGAATATGAAGCTGACAATGATTGAAAATGCCGACATTTATAGAGATGCCTGCCTGTTAACTGTGATTTTCCCTAGTTTATAGAATATCCTTAAGTTATCTGTGAAATCAGTTGACAAAGCAGAAAGACTGACATCGCAGATTATTCAGTGCAATGAGTACATCACCAAAAATGCATGCTCATTGTATAGATTTCTGAGTATTTCTCCTAGTCTCTTAAAGACTTTTATCAGTAAGTATTCACATTGTACGTAAACATTTATTCAGCATTATACCTCCTCTCTCTCTGACTTCCCCTGCCCTAAGGAGAAATGGCAATACCTTTAGAATTCCCAGTTCCTAGCTATGTCTGAAACATACACACATGCTGAATACTCTCAATTTTACACTCAGGCTATGAAATTTTAATTTCTAACTTTCTTAAAAATTGAGAAAGTTACGGTTTCTGGAACATTTCCACTGCATCTCGCGATTATGGGATATTTTTTGTGTTTAATGTCTAAAAGACTACTGTATTTACAAATACTGAAAAAGGAAATACTATAATTTTAATAAAAGACTCAGACATTTTTGCCCAGCTATGTGCTTTCCCAGAAAGTCTTTTCAAACATCATCATCAGATCACTTTTTAATGTTGCGCTTCAGGCTTTCTGGTAGAATTATTGTCGTGAGTCATATTTAACCTTTGTACAATTTCGGGTTGCAGGCAGAGGTAGAGATGAAATACTTCTTCATCCTGAAGTACGCCAATGATTCTTTACAGTCATTGGAGACTGACATGCAGTTAAGAGCTTAGACAGGGAGCTACATCAGAAATGAAATCTTTGTTTTGTCTGCTTCCTATTATCACCTGGCGATTTGCTAATCAGCTGACCAGTTAAGGAAGAGCTTTTCTATGTGAGGCCCCATTGGTAAAGCGAAACCATTTTCGGACACAAACATGAGGAATGTATAGCAGCCATGATTTCTGAGTGGCTATATGTTTTCTGTTTTGAGTGGCGCTGTGATGAGGTTTTTACGAATCCTTGTGTGCAGCATCTGCAGATAATAAAGAAGCACTTATTTTTGTAATTTCTTTGTGCTACTACTGATATTGAAATGCCCCTCCCCGAATGCTATGGCAGTAAGTCATGTGACAGAAACTCATGTGTCAGAGTTGGCATATGCTGAATACGGATGTTTGAGAATTTAGCCAGAAACAGAAGTGCAAATTCCTGGTGTTTGCTTATTTGTCCCATGTCCAGAACAAAAAGCCATCAGGCCAATAACTATTGATATTTACTGTTGCTATTGTTTTCAGTCTCCAAATGATACATAACTGCTCATGTTCGCTCCCACCACCACCACATTTCCATTTCGTTTCCTTTCCATTGAAATGAATGGTTTGGGAAAATATAATATATTACATAATTAATTATGTAAAATTCCATCCCAACAGATTTTGTTGTTGTTTAGTCGTGTCCGACTCTTCGTGACCCCATGGACCAGAGCATGCCAGGCACCTCCTGTCTTCCACTGCCTCCCGCAGTTTGGTCAGGCTCATGTTTGTAGCTTCGAGAACACTATCCAACCATCTCGTCCTCTGTCGTCCCCTTCTCCTTGTGCCCTCCCTCTTTCCCAACATCAGGGTCTTTTCCAGGGAGTCTTCTCTTCTCATGAGGTGGCCAAAGTATTGGAGCCTCAACTTCACGATCTGTCCTTCCAGTGAGCACTCAGGGCTGATTTCCTGAAGAATGGATAGGTTTGATCTTCTTGCAGTCCATGGGACTCTCAAGAGTCTCCTCCAGCACCATAATTCAAAAGCATCAATTCTTCAGCGATCAGCCTTCTTGATGGTCCAGCTCTCACTTCCATACATCACTACTGGGAAAACCATGGCTTTAACTATACAGACCTTTGTTGGCAAGGTGATGTCTCTGCTATCCCAACAGATAGCGAGATGTAAAGCGTATTTTTTTTTAATCAGAAACCAAACTGTAGCAGAATGGAGACAGCACTGCATGCAAAATGAAAACAGTTGAGAACAGAAATCAGTTCTTTTTTACATTTCTAATCCTGAATTATTTAGCAAAAGAGGCTAGGTCTGAATTGAATGTTCAGGAGTGCCCCTTTGAAAGAAGTCAGTTTAAAATGCATAGGGATCAATAAAAATATGTGTATCCTGTGCATCTAGAGATCTCCTTCTTTAATTTTTATTTCAGTTGGTCCCTCCTCACCTATTTTTCTTGTTCATGCTTCTTTTTGGTCATAATTCCTTAGCTTAGGATATGGTAGATGGCCACATCATCATAGTGAATGTGCTGAGAATCCCAGAGAATATTTGGCATACCAGTTTTCTTTTTTTATTTATAAAAAATACTTATAGGCCATTCATATAAAATATCAGGGCAGTATCCAACCAAATGTGCAAGTATAATCAAACATAAAATACTGCAAAAACAATAGAATACAATATTTGGTTTGGATGTGCAAATAAGGGGTCCTGCACCAAAGAGCTTTTAAAAATAAATAAATGAACACCTGTCGTGCTGTGGCTACCGGGGAATTGCTATTTTTAATGATTTAAAGTCTGCCCTGGACTATACAGAGGAAGCCACAGCAGTAACGAATTGACTTCTGAGGAATCCACTGCACAATGGGCAAGCCCAATGGAGAGTCCTTAGAAGTCTCTTCCTATAGGATTGAGAGGGACATGGATGCATATGCCAGATTCCAAAGAACCATCTGACAAGTTTCACGTATCCAAAGGAGACCTTCGGCTTGTCTGTATTGGATAGCACCTGTGTTGAAACTGAGTTTCAATAGTATTTTGTAATATTGCATGAGGGCCTGCAGTTTAAAGTGGGGGAATGGGCTGTAGTACGCATATCAAGCATCGCGACTCTTGGCCAAAGTTCCTCAACTAGAACTTGTAGGTGATCATTCTTAGGTAAGGTCATTCTCATTGGCAATGCTCCCCCCCCCCTTAAAAATTTTTTTAGGGTTACTCTCATTTTGACTCAAGAAAATCAGCATTTTATAGTTCAAATCGGGGAAAATAAAATGAATAAATAAATGGACGAAAGTACAAAGATTCGCAAAATGTTTAGGGGTTTGCGTACCCCTGTGTCTCCCCAGAAAAAGCACTGCTTATGGGAGATCAATACGTTGTCTCTAGGATGTGGTAAAAGGGGTTCCCCTAAATAGCAGAGACTGCTCAAGAGTCACCACAAGGCCAGTATCTAAAGATAAGGGAATCTTTAAAATAAATAAAAAATCCAAACAAATTATTTAAAGCTGCTATGATTTTTTTTTTTTTAATTTTGCCCCTGGTTTGTAGAATAGAATTTTCATTTTTCTTTCTTACTGGTTCCATGTTCTCAAATGGGAATACTGGTTTGGGTGCTGGAGAAATGCAACCTCCTTTCACTGTACAGTGTAAAAGTAAAATGAAATGAAATCTGTATTTGGCTTCGAGGCCTGGATTAAATAGTGTATTAGTCACTCGCTATTGGATTTGTGTCTGCTACACATAATCAAATCTATTGCTAATTGAACAAAAAGGGATTACATTGACTGGCTATAAAAAGGCTTAAGTATAAAGATTCCAAATGGATAAACCGGCAGCGCTGGCTCAGTGTGTTATGTTGACTGAGGTGAAAGGAAAAAGGTGCCCAAGACCAGTACTCCTACTGAAGAAAATAAACAGCAGAATAAAGCCATATGCAGATACATTGCTCTATGGATAACTCTTCAGCAGATTCAAAATTATAGTTGTGAATCTGATAATTTGTATTGCATACTTACAAGAAAAATAAAAGTTGCAAGGCAGAAAGGGAGGCCAAAGATTCTATTAGCTGTGGGACAGCAGATCATGAGATCTTGTGGGTGGAGACCGATCAACACTGAAGTTAGAATATACGAATCTGTTCTGACATTCATTCATACTTTCACCTGGTATTTTCTGTTGGGTTGCAAGAGGTTCATTTTCCACAAGTCTGTCTTCTGTTTTCCTGTCCGCTGATGCAACTTAGTGGGGTGACAGCTCTGGAAATATGGCTGGAAAGTTAACCGAATTTGGCTGAATTCCGCTTCTGTTTTAGAAAAAACATAGTTCAGCATATTGGCCCTAAACTGTGGTTTATTCTTAACAGTGGTTAATTGGAACAAGCCAGATCATGAGATTTAAATTATTGATTATTTGAAATAAGAGCAGTCTAGATTCGAACTGCAGTTAATCTAAAATGACAGCAAAAGCTTTCAATCTCCTCCTTGTGGCTGTGCTAGAGGTGGGTGGAGAAGTTGTCTGAGAATCCAATGCTCACTGTGGTGCATTTCACATAGGAGGCCACGCTCTACAGCTGATTGTTGCTGCCCTAATTCACTCAGTAATCCTCCCCCCTTCTCGCTTGTTGTCTTGTGAGCTGTCTCCAGCTTTTTGGATATCTCAAATAATTGACTAACAACCCGATCCTAAATCCATTAATTCTGAAATAAGATTCATGGCTTTCAATGGGAGTTGCTTGCTGACAGATACACTTGGCGTTGCAACTTAAAAACTGGCCTTTATTTGAGCTGCCGCCTCTGTTGTTTATTAGGTTTGTGTGTTGCCTACAGCAGATACTCTAGGTGAATTACAACATACAAAATCATGGATAACAAAGTTTAAAATACATAATTACATCTCATAAAACAACATCAAACAAGCAACTCCTCTATTATACAGAACTATAAATAAAAGAAAATCCTGCATACCAAAAGTAACAAAAGTAACAATCATCCCACAGTTGCTAGGAGAATAGTGTTGGCTGTAAACCCTCTGAGCTACTCTTAAAACTAATAAAAGTACAGTCATACCTCGGGTTAGATGTGCTTCGGGTTGAGCGTTTTCAAGTTACGCTGTGTGGTGACCCGGAAGTAATGGAGCACATTACTTCTGGGTTTCGCCACATGCGCAGACGCTCAAAATGACGTCACGCGCATGCACTAAAGCAGCAAAACACAATCCATGCATGCACAGACTCGCTGTCGCGTCTTACGTTTTACTCAAGATGCGAACGGGGCTCCGGAACGGATCCCGTTCGCATCCAGAGGTACCACTGTACTAAAAAGAGTACTAAAAATTAATAAAAAGCTGCAAATATAAGTCTCTGGGATGAATTAAAAACATACTGTCAAATGGGTGATTCCTAGCACCATGGGAGCCAACACCTAGGGGCCGAAGTCCTTTCATTCCCCCCCCCAATAAAATATTTGAGGGAGCTGCTCCCCAAGTTGAAGAGCATTCCCATGTCACCAGTTATGCAGGGTAGGGCTTACCTGCCCCCTCCCAATATTTTATTCAAGTTGGCACCCCTGCCAGGCACTACCTAATAATTGCTCTTTAACTCTAACCTACAAGTTGAATTGCAACTGAATTTCCAAACTCCTGGGAGGATTGCATTTTAAAAATGTATGCATCTTGCTGTGTTCCAGCGCACTAGCAGGCATATTTCCAGTGTGGATGGGATTCAGAATATTTGGCTGGTTGGTTTTTTGTTTTGTTTTGTTTTGTTAAAAAATATTTAATTACCGTAGAGTGCTTATTCATAAAAATGAAAACTAATGTTTCAAAATGTTTTGCCTTTGATTACAAATGTAAATCTGTATAAAAGAGTATGAAAATATTTTCTGGAATTTGATTTGACCAACATTTTGCAGGTTTACTTTCTAATTTAATGAAAACGTTGAAACCCATTTAAAGCTATCACAGAACTGCAAGAGATGCTAGGGGTGCTGAGACCCTTCTTTGATACTTACATTCTGTTTGCATCTTTTAATGACTCTCATGAGTTTTCACTGTCAGAGGTGATCAGATTCCAGGTATTAGAATTACAGACTTAAGCACCTGTAGGGAAAATGTGTTTATTGCCTGTCAAAATAAAAGTTATTTTTGCTGGTATTTTTTAAAAGGTCAGAGACTGAGTAAATTTTTTTCTGTGTTTTAGCATTAAACTCCTATCATAACCATTAGCACCTATTTTCAGTTTCAGTATAAAAAACCCACTCTTCTTTTTTGGCGTATACACTTCACAAAGACTCAGGGCAACTTTGAATAACAGAACAGCAGTTTCTTGCTCTGAAAGAATTCCAAACATGCTCAGCAAGTTTAACTTTTAATTTGATTTAGGGTTTATTATAGTGAACTGCTGGATGTCCCTAAATAACATCCAGTGACATCATCATATGTTTTCATGTTCAAAGTAAATATTTTACGTGAAAGCCAAATCTTAATCTTGCTCAGAGAATTAGAACACTATACAAATTGCCCTTTCATTAGAAGAGCACTAGAGATGCTTGAGGATTTTTGGGTGCATTGGTGAGGGAGATCTGCAGTCAAGAGTGAATTCACTTTATACAGTAGTACCTTGGGTTACAAACACCTCGAGTTACAAACACTTCGGGTTACAGACTCTGCTAACCCGGAAGTAGTACCTCAGGTTAAGAACTTTACCTCAGGATGAGAGAACAGAAATCGCGCAGCAGCGATACAGCAGCAGCTGGAGGCCCCATTAGCTAAAGTGGTACCTCAGGTTAAGAACAGTTTCATTTTAAGAACGGACCTCTGGAACAAATTAAGTTCGTAACCAGAGGTGCCACTGTACACAGCTCCTGATTGGATGTGATCTAGTCTGGTATCTGCATTCCAGTTGAATTCTGTGATATGGCCCAAAGGCTTCCCTTCCTCACTTTCTCCAGGTTTTAGCCACTTGGAACAGTTAGAAACGGGGCCACAACAACCTCTGAGAGGACGGGACATGATGGAATGGCATATATCTTCTTACATTTTGTATGGGGGGGGGACTGCTACCATGGGTATAAGGAGCAGCCATCTTTATTTCTGTCTGAAGAGATGGCATGGCATCATATCCTGAGCTTAACTTTTGATGCCCCGTTTGTAACATGTACAGCAGCTACATGCTTTCTAGCCATTCCAAATATCTAGACCTACTTGAAAAAGACAAAAGAGAAGGGTAGGAGGTGGCACCCACTGGAACACCTCAGAAAAACCTTTAAAAGTTGTAGATTAAAAAAATTCACACATGGCAATGGAATGGAATGAGAAATCAGACAAATGCAAAATTGCAGTGGACCAAATTTGCCCATCCCTACAAGCCATCACCATATTCTCCTTGTACAGTGGTACCTCAGGTTACATATGCTTCAGGTTACATACGCTTCAGGTTACAGACTCCACTAACCCAGAAATAGTACCTCGGATTAAGAACTTTGCTTCAGGATGAGAACAGAAATCGTGCTCCGGCAGCGCGGCGGCAGCAGGAGGCCCCATTAGCTAAAGTGGTGCTTCTGGTTAAGAACAGTTTCAGGTTAAGAACGGACCTCTGGAGCAAATTAAGTACTTAACCCGAGGTCCCACTGTATAGAGACAGTGGGCTGTTAATCAGTTCTCTCAATATTAAGCTAGGTTTCCTGAGTGAAGTTCTGCAATAGATCATTTAAAATAAAATAATAAGGAATATTGCCTAAGTAAAATAGCAACTTCTTTATTCACTCCTCTGATTAAATTAGGAGATTAATTAGTCCGTGGATAATTAGTCTACCTGTGGCTTCTAGCCATGGTAACTATTTTGAGAGACTATACGTTTGAATTATTATTATGTTCCACCAGTGTTTCTCCTCTCCTAGCTCTCAAGTGAAAAAAAACCTTAAGTATCTCCTAAGAAGATGATCATGAAGCAACTGAGATTTCCATTAGACTTCTATAGTGTAGCTTTCAGTTTAGGAATTTAGGCTTCCCACAGGGTTTACCTGGGGACCTGTAGGTTCCCAGGTGACATCCTGCTACTCCTTCAGAACCCAGAGTGTACTCATAAGTAGTTTAATAATTACAGATCAGAACCCCAGAGCTACACTAAGAGCTTTAATATCAGTACTAGAATTGCAACTGTAAAGGCATATGCAAGCCATTTATAACTTAACCAAGCAAGTTGTTGTTTAGGTATGATTCATAAAGTAGGATTGTTTATAGCAGCTAGTTGAAATCTCACACAGGATACAGTTGAGTGCTCCACTTTATTCTCTTGGTATTTGTGCTTCAGATATGATCCTGTCGTATATTTTATTCATTGGAGCCAGAGAGCAACATACCTAGGTTAAAAAACCAAGCCTCCCCTATGAAACTATTGAAACCACAGGCTAGCTGCAACTGTACTTTTCAGCTTTGGGGGTAGAGGGGGAAGGGAGAACGGCAGCTGCACAGCAACCCCCGCCAGCTCCTAAGGCGGACCAACGTTGTTGAGCTTTTTCTAGGGGAGCCACCTGGAGAAAGGGTTTAAAAATAGTGTGTGCAAGTTATTTGCCTACTGAAACTCATGTTCAATATTGGTCCTAAGCAAATCTGTATCATAGTAACTTCTATTTAAATCAAACAGACTTATATCAGTCTAGGTATAGGAGCATGACAAGGACATGGGCCATAATTCAGAAAAAGCTAGTCATAGTTAAGCCATATTGAAATCAAAGTTTTCAATTATTTGCTAAATTTAATTTCTTTGGACTTCATGTTACAAAGCACTTCCTATGCCTCAAATACTGTTTGCTGGTGACAAACAGTGGGATGAAGCATTCATACTTTCCTTCATTAGCTCCCTGAAGTCATCTGGTTGGTCATTATGGGTAGCAGGATGCTTCTCCTGCATTCTTCATTGTGAAGGACTAAACATTTTTATTTTAATGGAATTTGGAAGCTGACCTCTTACCAAGGGTCCCTGGTGTCTGAATGAGGATATCACTTAGCTGTTAGTAAG